TTAAGACATGCGTGTCCGTCAACCTTAAACAATAATCTAACGATCTCTACTGATTGTACGAATACAAACATCGGATAAATTCTTTATCTTTAGGAAAGATAATGAAATCTAAACATACACAAGTCGTAACTAAAAAATAATAACCGGAACGGGAAACTACTTTAAATACACATGGTGTCCAATTTTTTACTGTATTCAATAAGTAAAAATCATAAATTGTAAAAGATTATTATTACAGAAAGGCTACTAAATAAATAAGATTTGTTAGATCATAATTAATAAACCCAAATAAAGTTAATATTTTTTGTATTAGAAACAACGAGTGGAAAATATATTCAAATCAGAATTCTAATTATGAATCACCACAAGCAAAATATGCAATTTTTATTACTATATTCAATAAGTAAAAATCATAAATTGTAAAACTAAAAGATTACAGAAAGATTACATTTTTCAACCGATTTCAACAAAACTTCACTTTTTTTTTTTGGCATGTAGTGTTGCTTACTGTCTTGCACACTTTTTTCTTTAATTTTACATTCAGAATGCTTTAAAAATTCCATTTACAAGACAATTGTTTATAAAATTCTATTCAATTGGGAGACTCATAACGATTGAAAACAATGTTTTTGTTTGGGTTTGACCAATTCGTAAAAAAAAAATAATTAAGACATGCGTGTCCGTCAACCTTAAACAATAATCTTTGTCAATTTTATTTTTCAGTCTTTATGATGGTGGATACTTGATCTATCTCTTACTGTTATATCCCCCATACAACGTCGGGCTCTACTGCTATATAGTATATATATATATATATATATATATATATATATATATATATATATATATATATATATATATCAGTCTATTTATATCTAACGTTTACTAATTAAATGCCGCGTTAAGAGTCCTGTAATCCATTAGGGCCGTAGGTTTACCAGATTCTATTACAAACGTAGCATCACTGATTGTGTCTGGCACAAAAAATCCGGAAGTAAGCGTCCGGTTGGTTTCAAATTTAGACTTTTCCTTGTCTGTTTTACACCTCAAGGCAAGAGAACTCTCAAACCTACGATTTAACCATTGGAGAAGAATAGGATTCATACGTTTTCAAGGGTAATTTTATGAAAGTAAATGGAACGAAAAGGCCCGTAATTTGAAATTGGCTACCCGTAACTGAGACACTAACCGTAATACTATGCGTAGACAACTGTTTAGTCAGTTTACTCGAGGATTGATCACCCAGTGAAGATCACACTCAATACACAAGCGATTTGCTCCACACACTTATGTGTGTTTGCGTATTTCCTCCTCAGCAGTCTGATCGATTTTTCTAATCTTTCGTGATTTACCACAACCAGCAGATGATAGATGTGACAGATTTTATGCAAGGAATATAGATTTGTAGTGAGAGGAGTATATTTCAAAGACCGATAATAAGATTTTTTGTCCCTGATATCTTTGAATCATCTACCCCGTTAGTTCTATGTGACAACAGCCTGCCGAACTCCCCAATATATATATATATATATATATATATATATATATTGATAATATTAGTGGTTAATATACACATACATATATGTACATATATCTAAACCACAGAAATATATATACAAACGTACATACACGTATATACATATATATGTGTGTAAAAAAATCCAAGAGGATAGAATCCAGGACAGAGTAATATATATATATATATATATATATATATATATATATATATATATATATATATATATATATATATTTATGAATAAAATTGACAATAGGAAAACTGGTAATTGCTGACGCGTTTCGTCCAATGTGGACTTTATCAAAGCAAAATACGAAAATGAAATTAAATGAACAAAGTAACTAATAAAAACAAAAACAGAATGTACCTAGCAACTGGAATGTAGAGAAACGCTATTTTCATATTTTTTAACTGAAAAATAACGTATTTTGCTTTGATAAAGTCCACATTGGACGAAACACGTCAGCAATTACCAGTTTTCCTATTGTCATTTTTATTCATAAATATTGTCTTCTCTACCGATTAAATCGGGAGAAATTTTCATATATATATATATATATATATATATATATATATATATATATAATATTAGTGGTTAATATACACATACATTTATGTACATATATCTAAAACACACAAATATATATACACACAAACACATATATACATATATATGTGTGTAAAAAATTCCAAGAGGATAGAATCCAGGACTATATAATATATATATATATATATATATATATATATATATATATATATATATATATATATATATATATATCAATTAAAGGTGCAATTATAATTTATAAATTCATGAATCATTCATACAAAAAACAAATACAGAGGTTAATGACTTAAATGGCGAGAATACATCTTCGCAAAAAATATCATGACACATTTCTCATAACATTTTTTTCGGATTAAATCTCTATTTTCGTTGTCCTCTTATTACCGAGAAGTAAAAACAAAAACAAAATCTATTTCCATACCTGAGGATGTCTGTAGGAACAGACGAAAGCTTGTAAAAATTAAAAATACCTTATGAAACTGGAATTTATAAACAGGGATCATATCATTCATATACAGGTTTGGGGTTGATGTATCTCATTTATATTGTTTGCGAAGATGTATTCTCGCCATTTAAATCATTAACCTCTATATTTGTTTTTTGTATGAATAATTCATGAATGTATATATATATATATATATAGAGAGAGAGAGAGAGAGAAAGAGAGAGAGGGAGGGGGAGAGAGAGAGGGAGGAGGAGAGAGAGAGTAAAATTTCTCATTCGGTGTTGAAATGATCTCTGTATATTTCTTACGGAGATTGCTAGAAATAAGTTATGTGTTCTAATTCATATATTATCCGTTTCTATTTTTGATCAGAGGTTGCGGTTTTAATCAAACCATTATTCAGGCGCTTGTGTGTTCATTCTAAGTCGTTAGGAAATGGTCACTGTATTTTGGAACTTAGGAATGATCATTCAGATCTTTTCAAGTATTTATGGAATCGATATTTGCAAATACAGATCATATTGGTAACGAGTTTATTTGTCATTTCTCTACAAATCTAACATCAGTATACACATAAAAAGTTGTGATGAAATCGACACATTTACTGAAAAATTTATTGAAAAAGCAATTAAAATAAATCAGTATTTTTATATGACATGAAACCTCTTATTTTCACCTGAAAGTTGTATACTTTACATGGTGCGATGGGTAAATTGTCGCCATTGTTTTGGTTTTGTCAACTGTAGTAGGATCAGTTGGGCACCATCTGTGAGAAAAAAAAAAACACCATGTCGCTATTCACCCCGCCAGAAATTTGGAAACGCCATGCTGTACTGGTTAGCATTCCCGCCAGAAGCTCCAATACGAACATTTCAGAGAGTTTGGGTGTCAATTTGAGGGTCATTGCAGAGGATTAGAAAAGAGTTAGATGAGATAATGGTGATTACGAACATGTTGGAGTGATCACTGGTGATAGTGACGTTATGCCTTCATTCATTTCTTTGGCATTCGTGCCGGAATATCCAATTTCAGAGTGTTTGGGTGTCAGTGCAGATGATTCGGAAAGAGTTGGATGAATCTAATGGGGATTACAAAGGTGTTTGGTGGCGACGTTATACCTCCATTCACATTCCTATATAGCCTCAGACTCAACACAGAGGCCTACATCAAGTGCCCTGAGATGGTAGTTCTACTCTGTGTCAAGAGGGTGGCAGCTGGAAGACCCTGTGTCTGGTAACAGGACCCTGCACCATGCAACAAGAAGGAGAACCCAGTCATGGCTGTCTGACAAATATCTGTGACCACATCACCCCTTAAATCTGGCCAGCTTACTTCCCAAAACTGCAACAGCCTTGATTATTATGTGTTGGGCACATTTGAGTGAGAGACCAAAAAGCATTTTGTAACACCAAAGATGAACTGAATGCAAGGATTATGGCAGCATTCATCAACTTAAACAAGGAGACCGTCCAGAAGAGATGCAGGAGATTCTGAAATCATCTGGAGGCCATGGTTTAAGCCAATGGCGATTTTTTAAAATAAATTTACTCTTTAGCATTTCAGGATATTTTTGTGTAATTTTGGTAAATATATGTGTTAAAATGAGATGCCAGTATTATTTTATTTTTTGCGTATTTTAGAGGACAATTTATCCATCCTACCGTGAATATATTAAGTTCTTTCAGCAATCCATCTGTAAGAAGATGCAATATAATTAGCCTTTGATGTTTATGTTTTTTATTAAATAACACCCTGTCTCTAGAAGGCTATGTTTTTATTATGTTAAAACAGAAGTTTAATGTTGCATGAAAATAATGACATATTTTAATTCTGATGTCACTGAATGTGACTATTTTGTGTGAATTCTTGTTAAATTTCTAAAGAAATATTAAACAATCATTAAGATTTCAAATTTTCATCATAACTTCACACCAATGAAGTGTAAAGGCGTCTTGGGAATAACCTACGAACCAAATCTTTCCGAATCGTATAAATTTGCAATTGTTATCTACATTCTAACCTTGTGAGAAGTTGCGAAAGTTTTAAAAGATAAAAGTATTTTAGCAGACTAATAATCATTTATAATGTAATTGTAAGAAAATGAAAAATAAATAAACTACAATATTTACATTATTTGTAGGAGTCTATTTACAATGTTCACAGTACAAGGATGTCAAAATCATTTCTTACATTTAATAATATATATATTGTGAATATTTTGACTTTTTCTTCCTTCACAGTTATACAATTATTAGCAGAGTTATTAGTAGCATTTGTAAATTGTCTTAATTGAATGGAGCCGTCTTTTTTTCCCTGTTTTAATCACAAAGCTAAAATAATATTAGTCAAAGCCACCCCGCTTAAAATCCCAAAACTTTAATTTCGAGCCGATTGACGGCTATATATACTCAAATTCAAACAAACCCGAAACAGACGCGCTGAGATAGAAACGACGACATTCATCACCAATGTCCATTTCACGTTTAATTTCACCACTCTCTCTCTCTCTCTCTCTCTCTCTCTATCTATCTATCTATCTATCTATCTATCTTTCTCTCTCTCTCTCTCTGTTGCTTTAGCAGCAGCAACAGATAGGAATTATTTGTTATTGTATATTTAAATAAATTATACATTATTATTAGTCAATGTTTTCTTTTGTTTGACACTTGGATTTAAGCTTGACGATGCGGAGTAGAAATTAACCTCCACAACACTAACAACTACAAGGTTCTGTCTTGCACTTTACATATTTCTGCCTCTGCAGTAGAACTCGACAAGTAGTATTTATAAAGTATTGGTGTTTATAGTTTGTATTTAATTCTTTTATTCTGATCAACAATGTAGATTTAACAGTTCTAAAGTATACAAACGATCTTGAGGGTGGGGATAAAACATTAAAAATGAAACGATGAGAGGATAAAGTATTTATTATTATTTATTCGATTGCATCTGCCTTATATTCGCAAAGAAATATATTTAACAAAAAGCAAACAATTTTTATTTCTTCTTGCTTAACTACAATCTCTTTTTCGTTTTGTTTTATTTTATTTCTGACACGATCTTTTTTGCTTACATCTATAAATATTAAGCATAACATATTATTTTCGACCTGATATCCCTGTATATGTGCGCATGTATATGTGTGCGTTTATATGTGCGCATGTATATGTGTGCGTGTATATGCGTATGTGTGTTTTTATTAATATTTACGTCAATATATCCTCAATCTGATGGGAAAAAGCTTTATTTTACACAGCAAATATTTTTCTAAATATCCCCTTTCTTATCAATGTACTTCAGTCAGAAATGAATGATAATCACATGCTTATAGGTTCAGCCTTGAATTTCAGAAATTTAAAATAGATTCTTTAAAATTTTAAACGTGTGATTGTGTATATTATTCATTCACATTCATGAAATATCCATATAAACATATGTCCAAAAGGCCACTGTTGACCTCAACGCAGCATTTCATAACAAATGTTCAAAATGTCCCCCGCTTACTTCGATACAATTATGCACCCGTCGGATCACTGACTGGCGGACCCTTTCAAATACTCCCACACGGTTCTGAATGGTTTCGCAGGTCCCCGTGACACTTTGATTAAGTGTTTCTGCATTATTAATGTCTGCTGCATAAACCAATAGTTTTAGGTGGCCCTACAGGTATAAATCCAAAGGATTGAGGCCGGGAAAATCCGCAGACTATGAAACCAGTTATCTCCTACTTATCCATCTTTCATGGTAGATGTCAGCGAGTGCATCACGAACAATGTGACTAAAATGTGGTGGAGCCCCATTTACCTTGAAACACATGCATCTTCGTACTAACAGTGGTACATCGTCTAGCAGGTCTGGAAGTGTGCTTGAAATAAAGTCCCTGTAGACAGCTGTAAGACGTGCTTGGAAGCATATGGACCTACCAGACAACAATTCAAGTTAACACATTAATCATAAATCAATGTTGGTCTCTAGCCTGTATTGTATCATGGGTTTTCGGATCCGCTCACAAATATTGGTTGTGTACATTTGTCATTCCATCTCTTCCAAAGGTTGCCTCATCTGTAAACAAGACTGAAGAGACAAACAACGGCATTTTGTGCAATAAACCATCGGCAAAAGCTCTTCCGTGGTGAGTGATCAGAGGGCGAAAGACCCTGCACACGTTGCAAATCATACGGATACAGGAGCTGTTAATTGCGATACTTTAAGATGTACGACCGGCTAGAGCCACTTGACGTGTACTGATACCTGGATCGTCCCCATCAGCTAGTAGAATATGTTCTTCATGGTCAGGCGCATGAGCGGATATCGGTCTTCCTTTAAATTTAATAACTCAAAAAGAAGGATTTTTTACTCATACGTTTATATGGACTATTGTCCTTGTTTAGTGTGAGAATCCGCCCAAATTTTGTAAAACTATTTTTGCTAAACTACCTCTATCTGTTTCTGATATAATATATATATATATATATATATATATATATATATATATATATATATAGTTACTCAGTATAATTTCTTTGACCACAATTTCGATTTGAAAAAATGGTACTTTAATTAAATGAGAAAGCAACGTAGTTAGATGAAAATATATAGAAAGTGCTTTAATCGCTAGACCATCAACAGCAAACTTACTTCCCGGTTCTTAAAACATTTAACTTTGCTTGGCAGATCATCTATTATCACAATGGGGGTATTTAATAACAAAACTGATAAAAACACAAGCCGTAAGAAAAAGCAACTAAATGAAATTGGTTAGACTGTATGCGCAAAAACATATTTTACAAAAATAGATTTAAAATTCTCAGCTCTCGTCTCCTTCATGCAAATGCGTAGTCGCATCAGAGTAAACATCCACTTGTTCGATGAAGTCCTAAAAGATGATATATGTCACACGAAAATTTGTCCACTTTGTCATAGATTTTCTCAATATAATAAAAAAGCACAACAGGAAAACCAACAAAATATCCGCACAAATCAGAGCCACGTGTAACTGCAGAACAAAGAACGGATGTCCCTTAAATGGCAATTGCTTACAAAACAATTTAATATACCAAGTCACGGTAAAATTAGAAGTTAACGCGTGAAAAATATACACAGGAATAATTGAAGGACCTTGGATACAAAGAAACTATGCAGAAAAACATCCTATTCAAATAGTAAATACGCGAACAGCACAATTATTTGCAAACATATTCGGGAGATTAAAAAAAAATCACACCGAAAGCAACATGGAAAATATGAAAAACAACCTTAGCCTACAACAATAAATCCAGAAACTGTAAACTCTGCCTTGAGAAGAAAGCAACTATAATTACCTTTCCAGACCAATACAAACTACTAAATAAAACATCTGAACAAATTTTTATTACGTTGCATAAAAATCGAAAACAGAAAATGAACAAGAATAAAAAATAAATAATTAATAAAATAAATAAATAAACAACAGTAAGCAAATAAAATGATCCAAACCAATAAATAAGTAAGTAAATAAACTTAGTAAATAATAAATACATTAACAAACTACTAACACACACATAAACAAGTAAGGCTAACAATAAAAACCAACAATAAAACAGAATGTCGCCTCTAGGCGTTGACTTCGATAACAGCTATTATATATACAAACGAACTTTCCTTGATACTGATCACTTTAAGCCATTAATATATGCATATCTGAAAACTATATTTTGCCATATATATATATATATATATATATATATATATATATATAAAAATATATAGTTTCCATATATACTATATTTATAGGTTAAAGTGCTCAATACCAGGAATAGGGTGTATGTAAATATAAAAAGGACTTTGCGGTCAACACATAACGGCAACAGTCTGCTTAATGTTTAAACGCGGGCCAAGAATATTGGTTTTAAGCAGAAAACAAAATGTTGCCGCTGGGTCTCGAGCACAATGTCAATTATATATATATATATATATATATATATATATATATATGCGTATATTTTGTTAGTATGTTTTCATTAAGTCATGTCTCATTAAATGATTTTGACAAGTTTTGTCTACTTATTTTTAATAGGATCCTCTCATAAATACGGACAAAGTTTCTTAGTATCCTTATTAAAGGAGGAAAGAAAAATTACCATGTTGATGTATATTCATTTTATTCCCAGTACTTTCAATATCAGCATAATGTCGTCATCGGGGTGTTGTTTTTCTAGGATAAAAAAAAAATGTTGCGTTCATTCTTTTTTCTAAGACAAAATTGTTGTGTTCATCTGAAAATTAAATTTCTACCTGTGAAATGAAAAACGCTATGGTTATGTACTGTACAATTGACGAAATTATCCCTTTTGTGTACATATAATCTCTTATTTAATTACTTGATGTCTCTCCTATGTATTCCTTGTGGCAATTAATATATCATTATATATTATAGTACAGAATAACGTATTTCTTCAAGTTTTAGCTTATTAATTTGTTTTATATTAAGTCTTTTATTGTAGTTGTTGTCTTTTAGAATATATTGTAAAATGTTGATGTTATGCTTTTCAATAGAAGTTGTGGATTGTGTAAAAAGTGCTAACATTTAAACGATTCTTTATGCAGGTTAATTTTGTTATTATTATTATTATTATTATTGAATACCGGATAGAATCTTTTGTGAGGAGAAAGACCCACTGGCCCAAAGAAGGCTAGTAAATTTGTTTTGAAAAAAACTGCATATTTTTGTGTGATTCTTCGAAATCAAAAAAATCAAAAAGTTTGCCACAACCTTCTGGGCTATATATATATATATATATATATATATATATATATATATATATTAATAGTAGTATTAGTAGTATTTCAAACATTATTAGAGTGGGCACTCATGTTCGAACTAGACGTCTCATTTTTACTTTTAAATACGCACTCTTTAAAATAAGAATGGGTCGTCGATTTCAAATACGTTTGTCCACTATAATAACATTTGAAATTGTAAAACTGTCGGACTAAAATCCATTAATTCTTTAGAAATTATGTATATATATATATATATATATATATATATATATATATATATATATATATATATTTATTTATTTAAAATATGATTCCAACACGCTACATAAGAGGTCTCATGTTTCAAAACAAGAGTCGAAAACTTCAATATAATTATTTGAATTAAATTGAATTAAGCTCTGTTCCATCTTCAAGCGAAATTCTTTTGGGAATCAATATATGTGGATATATGTGGACTGGAATTTTTTTTGCATCGATCACTATTTTTTAAAATAACAACAAAAATATTAAAAAACTTTGGATTATTTACCTAACGAGTTCTTTCCTATTTTCTATATATTTTCACACACACACACACACACACACACACACACACACACACACACACACATATATATATATATATACACACACACACACATATATATATATATATATATATATATATATATATATATATATATATATATATATATATATATATCTAGTCATCTACAAATTTTTATTCAAATAAATTTTGTTAAAGATAACTGTTTAATATTTTAAATATTTTTTAGCGGATTAGTTTCTGTATGTTGATGTTGACGG